AAGACTCTACAATGAAAAGTATAGAACACTGAAGAAGACACAAGATGGAAGACCACCAATGTTCATGGATAGGCAGAATTAATATTGTTAAAATTGCCATATTACCAAAGCAATATCAGATTCAATGCAATCCCCACCAAAATATCAATGACTTTCTTTATGAAACTAGAAAATAAAGCATTAAAACTCATGGAAGGCAAAAGATTCAGAATAGCCAAAGCAATTCTAAACCAAAAAAGCAATGACTTCAGGGCTGAAGCTATAGCTCAGTGGTAGAGTGCCTGCTTCACAGGTATGAGGCCCTGGATTTGATCCTCACCACCACATAAAAATAAAGATATTGTGTCCATATATAACTGAAAAAAAAAAAAAGCAATGACTTCAAATTATACTATGGTTATAGTAACAAAAACTGAATGGTACTGGCATGAAAATAGACACAGACCAATGAAACAGAAGACACAGAGACAAATCCATAGAGATTCAGTCATCTGCACAGAGACCAATCCACAAAATTACAACTATCTTATATTTGATAAAGGGGCTAAAAGCATGCAATGGAGAAAGGATAGCATCTTCAACAAATGGTGCTGGGAAAACTGGAAATCCATATGCAACAAAATGAAACTGAATCCCTTTCTCTCACCATGCACAAATGTTAACTCAAAATGGATCAAGGAGCTTGATATCAAATCAGAGACTCTGCATCTGATAGAAGAAAAAGTTGGCTCCGATCTACATACTGTGGGGTTGGGCTCCAAATTCCTTAATAGGACACCCATAGCACAAGAGTTAAAAACAAGAATCAACAAATGGGACTTACTCAAACTAAAAAGTTTTTTTCTCAGCAAGAGAAACAATAAGAGAGGTAAATAGGGAGCCTACATCCTGGGAACAAATCTTTACTCCTCACACTTCAGATAGAGCCCTAATATCCAGAGTATACAAAGAACTCAAAAAATTAAACAATAAGAAAACAAATAACCCAGTCAACAAATGGGCCAAGGACTTGAACAGACACTTCTCAGAGGAGGATATACAATCAATCAACAAGTACATGAAAAAATGCTCACCATCTCTAGCAGTCAGAGAAATGCAAATCAAAACCACCCTAAGATACCATCTCACTCCAGTAAGATTGGCAGCCATTATGAAGTCAAACAACAAGTGCTGGCGAGGATGTGGGGAAAAGGGTACACTTGTACATTGCTGGTGGGACTGCAAATTGGTGCGGCCAATTTGGAAAGCAGTATGGAGATTCCTGGGAAAGCTGGGAATGGAACCACCATTTGACCCAGCTATTGCCCTTCTCGGACTATTCCCTGAAGACCTTAAAAGAGCGTACTATAGGGATACTGCTACATCGATGTTCATAGCAGCACAATTCACAATAGCTAGACTGTGGAACCAACTTAGATGCCCTTCAATAGATGAATGGATTAAAAAATGTGGCATTTATACACGATGGAGTATTACTCAGCACTAAAAAATGACAAAATCATGGAATTTGCAGGGAAATGGATGGCATTAGAGCAGATTATGCTAAGTGAAGCTAGCCAATCCCTAAAAAACAAATGCCAAATGTCTTCTTTGATATAAGGAGAGCAACTAAAAACAGAGCAGGGAGGAAGAGCATGAGAAAAAGACTGACATTAAACAGGGACGAGAGGTGGGAGGGAAAGGGAGAGAGAAGGGAAATTGCATGGAAATGGAAGGAGACCCTCATTGTTATACAAAATTACATATAAGAGGATGTGAGGGGAAAGGGGAAAAAAATCAAGGGAGAGAAATGAATTACAGTAGATGGGGTAGAGAGAGAAGATGGGAGGGGAGGAGAGAGGGGATAGTAGAGGATAGGAAAGATAGCAGAATGCAACAGTCACTAGTATGGCAATATGTAAAAACGTGAGTGTGTAACCGATGTGATTCTGCAATCTGTATATGGGGTAAAAATGGGAGTTCATAACCCACTTGAATCAAATGTATGAAATATGATATGTCAAGAGCTTTGTAATGTTTTGAACAACCAATAAAAAAAAGATCAAAAAAAAAAAAAAGAGATTCAGTCATCTGACAAAGGTGTCAAAACATACACTGGAGGGACTAAGGCTGAGGCTCAGGGGTAGCACACTTGCGTGGCATGTGTGAGGCACTGGGTTCAATTCTCAGCACTGAATATAAATAAATAAAATAAAGGTCTGTCGACAACTTAAGAAAAAATATATACTGGAGAAAAGACAGCTTTTTCAAACAAATGGTGCTTGGAAAAGTGGTTTTCCATATATAGAAGAATGAGTCTAGATCCCTATCTCATGCTATACAAATGCCAACTCAAAAAGGATCAAAGACCTAGGAACAAGACCAGACACTGGTCTTAGTTCTCCTAGAAGAAAATATAAGGTCCACACTCCAACACATAAGTGCAGGCATTGACTTTCTTTCTTTCTTTGGTACCCGGATTTAACCCAGGGGCTCTTAACCATTGTGCCATATCCCCAGCCCTTTCTTGTATTTTATTTAGAGACAGGGTCTTACTGAGATACTTAGGACCTTGCTAAGTTGCTGAGGCTGGTTTTGAACTCACAATCTTCTTGCCTCAGCTTCTTGAGCTGCTGGGATTACAGGCATGCGCCATTGCACCTGACCAGGCAATGACTTTCTCAGTAGGACTTCCAAAGCTCAGAAAATAATGTCGAGAATAAATAAAGATGGGATGACATTAAATTAAAAAAGCTCCTTCATAGCCAAAGGAAACAATGTGAAGAAAGAACCTATTGGATGGAAGAAAATCTTTGCTACTTATTCTTCTGACAGAGGATTACTATCCAAAATAACTTTACACTAATATTTTTTTTTTTAAAATATGAAAACCCAAACCAAACAACCCACTCAAAACCAAATCCAAAATAGAACAACAAAACCAAAACCATTTGACCCAGCTATCCCTCTCCTTAGTCTATACCCAAAGGACTTAAAAAGAGCATACTACAGGGACATAGCCATATCAATGTTTATAGCAGCACAATTCACAACAGCTAAACTGTGGAACAACCTAGATGCCCTTCAATAGATGAATGGATTAAAAATGTGGCATATATACACAAGAATATTACTCAGCAATAAAAGAGAATGAAATCATGACTTTTGCAGGTAAATGGATGGAAATAGAGAAGATAATGCTAAGTGAAGTTAGCCAATCCCAAAAAACCAAATGCTGAATATTTTCTCTGATATAAGGAGACTGATTCATAATGGGAGAGGGAGCATGGGAGGAATAGCGAACTCTAGATAGAGGGGTGGGAGGGAAAGGGAGGGGTTAGAAATGATAGTGGAATGTGATGGACATTATTATCCAAAGTACATGTATAAAGACATGAATTGGTGTGAATATACTTTATATACAACCAGAGATATGAAAAATTTTGCTCTATATATGTAATAAGAATTGTAATGCATTCTGCTGTCGCATATAAATAAAAAACAAAAACAAAAACAAAAAACCCCTAACAAAAACAAAAAACTTCTCAAAAGAAGAAATACAAATGGTCACTAAATATATGAAAAAAACATCTTTAGCAATTAGGGAAATGCAAATGAAAACTACACTTAGATTTCCTATTATTCCAGTTAGAACGGCAGCTATCAAGAATACAAACAATAACAAATGCTGGAGAGAATGTGGAGAAAAAGGAACATATTTACACTGTTGGTAGGATTGTAAATTAGTACAACCACTATGGAAATCAATTGAAAGTTCATCAAAAGACTAGGAATGGAACCATCATATAACCTAGCTATACCACTCCTCAGTATTTATCCTAAAAAATTAAAGTCAGAATATTATAGAGATACATGCATATCCATGTTTATAATAGCAGAATTCACAATAGCCAAACTGTGGAACCAGCTTAGGTATTCATTAATGAATGAATAACAAAAATGTGGTATATATACATAATGGAGTTTTATTCTGCCATAAAGAAAAGTGTGAAATTATGTCTTTGGCAGAAAAATGGAGGGAACTTGAGAACATTATGTTAAGTGAAATAAACCAAACTCAAGAAGTTAAGGGTCACATGTTTTCTCTCATATGTGGAAACTAGAGAGAATAATGGAAAAGAAAGTGGTGGGTGGAGCTTATGAAAATAGAAGGGAGATCAATAAGAGTAGACAAAAGGAAGCAGGGGGAAGGAGAGGGGAAGGAAAGGAGAAATACTGGGGAATGGAATTACCAAAATTATATTGCTATATTATATACATGGACAAATATATAACAATAAATACCACCATTATGTATAATCAGGGTGTATAAATATGTAAAATATGGAAAAATTTATTATTATTATTATTATTATAAGATTTTGTTACATATGTGTAAATATGTAAAATATGGAAAAAATTCTTTCAGTGTTTCCCCAATATCTCCCCTAAGATAAACTTCTAATTCCTTCACATGTTTCATAAGGGCTCAGCTCTCTTCTTCAACTCCTGCCATACTCAGTGTATGATTTATTCTGAACAATTTAACAATTCCTTGAATACGTCATGACCTTCTTTAGCTCTCCTATTCCCAGCTCCCGTAATGCTAGAGATTCCCTTGTGCGTGCTAGGCAAGTGCTTTTCCACAGAGCTACATTTTTTAGCCCACTTCTTTAGCTTTTGAATCTAGGAATACTGTGCCCAGAATGCCTTCTCTTTCTCTGTATTGCTGGCAAATTCCTACTCATACTTCAAGAAATTAGTTCAAATTTCACCTCTTCTAGGAAGGCCTCCCCGAACTCTCTAGGCAGTTAACTGGTTCTTTTTTGTATCTTCATAGTATACATCTTACATTTATTAGATTACTAAAAATTATTGTTAACATGTCTATTTTTCTTTAGAAGTGAAATCAAGAAGGCAGGGACTGGACCCTTTGCATCCCTAACTTCAGCAAAATGACTGCCACTATGCTTAATGAATGTCTGATAAACAGCCACTGCTTTTTAGCATTATATACTTACCACAGCTGGTGAGGGAACATGAATGCTTGGGACAGATCGAGGACGCACATGATTGGCCAAATGGCAAAGAACAACACCATCAGTTAGAGCTGCTCCAAGATCACAAGGCAGAGATACTTTTAGTCGGTACTCTATATGCTAACAGAATAGGAAAACATGTAATACAGTAATTGAAGATTGATTAACAAATAAGACATAATGGAGTTACAATGGAATACACTTAGTTGGAAATCAAGATAAAAAGGAAATAAGGAGATCATACATGTACATACATACAGCAGCTAGGCCACAGTGCCAAATACAACAGAAATTCATATACCATTTTCTGAATAAAAAGAAAACAAAGACTGGATTCTCTTTCGATTTCAAAATAAAATAGCTAACCTCTTATCACATAAGTGTATATGTATATGTGTATGTTCATATAAATTATTATTATAAGATTTTGTTATAATATGAAGCAGAAAGGAAATGAAAATAATTTCAAATGCATAGGGCTAAGAATAACCCATCTCAATTTTTTCAGTAAAAAGTTGAAAAGAATTTCTTCAGTAGCATAATTTCTTTTACATTTATCACAAAACACAGCCACAATAGATATCTACTAATTCTATGAACAAGTAATTATGGGATTATGGATTATAGTAATATCACGGAAAAAGTGCAATTCAAAGATAATATACACACTTTTCGTAGTTGTTCTATTAATTTCAGCTCTTCTTCTCTCTGCCTTGATATGGGATCTGTAGAATCAGTGGTAGGTGCAGAAGATGGGAGAGGTGAAGCATGGCCTAGAAAAATACTAACATGTTAGATAGAAAACCAATGCTAAGAAAATACATCTGTCTGATGACAATGTCCTTGCAAGGACATCATTTTCTGCTTTCTGGATTGAATTTTTAAAAATGTTTTTATTATGGAAAATTTCAAATATACATGATAATGATTACTCATTTGGCTTAACTACTGTATTTGAGCCCAAAAATGTTATCATTGAAAAAAAATACATATACAGAAAATTATACAAATAGCAGAGATTAATAATTTTCCTCAGAAAGTGAAACAATTAATATCCTTAGAGATATTAATTAATTAGTAAATGAAACATTACTTATGCCCAAAAGCCCTTTTGCATGCTCTGCCTATCAGTACCTAAAGGTTACCAGTATGCTGACTTCAAAAGCCATAGATTAGTTTTCTCATTTTTGAACTTTCTATAAATTAAATCATATTGTATGCTTTTGTGGTCTGGCTTCTTTTGATTAACATGATGAGATTTATCCATGTTGACGTTCAGAGTTATTTGTTCATTTTCATGACCTTTACGGTATATGCCAATGTTTAGCTATACCACAATTTATTATCCATTCTACTGATGGACATTGTATTTGGGGCTATTTTGAATAATACTGCTGTGAATATTTTTGGACATATTTTCGGTATACCTGTGTGCATATTTCTCAAAATTGTTGGTTTATGGTCATGGAGTGTACAAATGTTTGACAGTTTATCAATACAGAAAAATCTGAAAAAGCGCATTGCAGCTGGGTACGGTGGCACATCCCTCTAATCCTAGTGACTCAGGAGGCTGAGGCAGGAGTCTTGCAAGTTTAAAGTCCAGCCTCAGGAATGTAGTGAGACCCTGTCTCATAATAAAAAATCGAAAGAGCTGGGAATATAGCTTAGTGGGAAAGTGTCCCTGGGCTCCATCCCCAGTATCAAAGGGGTCGGGGAGAAGAAGCTATATCCTCTAACTGAAGAGGATTTTATTTGTTCAAATATTCAAAACTTATTTAGCTGGATGTGGCAGTGCATACCTGTAATCCCAGCTACTCAGGAGGCTAAGATAGGAGGATTTCAAGCTCCAGGCCATCTTAGTACCCCAACCCCCCTAAATCAAAAAACATAAAAATGCTTGCTTTTAGGTGATTCTAAGCAACTTTTTAATCAAAACAGATTTAATCACAGGTATCTGCAGAGTTTAAAGCTTTTGCTATATAAGTTTAAAAGATGTTACAGTTTATGTCTTGTATAAAGCACCTTTCCAGCCCCAACCCTATCCTGCCCCATTTTCAAAATCACTATCACCTACCTTTATTTGTTTCTGCCCTGACAGCTGCTCGGAAAAGGAAACTTTCAGGGCGCAGGGGTTGATTTCTCTGGATGGTAGCAGGAAAAGAATATGCAGGGGAATGATGAACTAAATCAGTATGGAAAAAGCAAAATGAAACGAAAGATGGAAAGCAAATTAAATATAATGTAGATGTACATGTCACAGTCACAAAAGTTCAGTAAGTAGTACATACAGAAAAAATCAAACATGGCAATATGATATAAAATGATACTTTTTTTCTTTTTGGACTTAGGATTGAACCAAAGAGTGCTCTATCACTAAGTTACATCCCGAGCCCTTTTTATTTATTTTTTTATTTTAAGACAGGTTCTCAATAAGTTGCTGAGGCTGGCCTGGTACTTGTGATCCTCCTGCCTCAGCCTTCTGAGTTGCTGGCATTTCAGGTGTGTGCCAGCATGCTTGTTAAGAATTCTGTTTACTAACGAAAAACCTGGCATAGAAAAGTAATCCTTAGAGAAGGGTTTTTAATTCTCATGTTATTTTTGGTATATCAATAAATACAGAAAAATGCTAATATACTGAACATACCCTCTTGCAAATCTATAGCCCTGCTGGCTCAAGCTCATTTGTTCTCATCAAATGGCTAAGTAGTTGAATAACCAGTTGAATTAAAAAGTGGGAAATGTTTAGAAAGTTTTCAATTTGTGTCTGATTTCTGTCTCAGAAAAAGAAGTCAGTTCTCTAACTAATCAACTTGTTCAAGAAAATTCTGGTTAAGAATTAGATCTTGATATGGTTAACTGTACTTTTGTGTCTATTACCTGTTTCTGTTGTAGGTGAACTTGATAAGGCAGTAGATCTGTCATCACTCTGTGGAGAAAGACACAGCAATAATTATTATTCAAGAAGACAAACTTTCCACATTTATGTTAACTTTGGGACTATATTAAAAAAAACCCAAAACCAAAAACCCATGCAACTCTCCTTCAAATTTAAGTCTTAGAATGAAAATTAAGTGAAAAGAATTAATCTCGTACATTATTTTAAAAAAATATATATTTTTTTAGTTGTAGACAGACACAATACCTTTATTTTACTTATTTATTTATTTTTTATGTGGTGCTGAGGATCGAACCTAGTCCTGCACACGTGCTAGGCAAGCACTCTACCACTGAGCTACATACAACCCCAGTCAAACTTTTTGTGTTTATGTAAAGTATTATCTAAAAATAACAGGTATTTCCAAAGACTGAGAAATCATCACTATAAGGTACAAAATATATGGGAAAGAATAAAATTTTATTTTCTAATAGCAATTCTCTGGAATAATTTCTAAAATACTTTTTCCTCTGGAGAATAATATTTAATCTTTTGGAAAACAGGAAACAGGATTCTTCATTCAATTAGAAACAAATGTTTTTACAAGATGATGTCTTTTCTAGAATAGTATTTGATTTCAATTCATTGAAGAACAGTACTGTAAAAAGGAGGAGGAACTAGCTAAAACGGTATAAAGTTTACGTAAAAAAAAGGGGAACTTAAGATAAAAAACATATTCAATGGCTGGGTTAAAGATGTTGAAGGTTTGGCAGGAGAGCAGAATCAAGAAGTCTTGACATCTAATTAAATTTAAACATAACTTTATGGTATATTAGGCATTTCTAAACCAAAATGTCTTTAAAACTAACACACACACACATATCTGCTCCCTCCCACCCTACCCAGGGCTCAATAGTTTCAAAAATCTCATATCTCTAGTTGAATTTGGGTCAGATAAAATAAATGATGACAGAATTTTAATTGCAAACAACAATGACAAGGAAAGAGCCATGCAGTTGAGAATATTCTTGGACAGATTTAGAGACAATTTTCTGGTAATGATTCCTTAGTTTGATATTTATGGGCTGAGAGTCAAGATTTAAATGTTAAGATTTAAAAAGCAAGCTGGGCTTGCAAGGCATGGTGGCATACCTGTAATCTCAGTGACTCGGGAGGCTGAGGCAGGAAAATTGCAAGGTCGAGGCCAGCCTCAGCAATTTAGTGAGACTCTGTCACCCCCCAAAAAAGGTGTGTGTGGGGATGCGGGGAGGCTGGGGATGTGGCTCAGTTGTGAAGCGCCTCTGGGTTCAATTCCAGGTACCGCCCCCCCCCCAAAAAAAAAAGCCAACAAGAAGCTTTGCTCTTGACTGAGGCAGAAACAACATGTCCATCAAGATTATAGATGTATATAATCTATATTTTAGGTGTTGAAAAAAAATGGAAACTTTAATAAATTTAAAACAAGAGTAATAGGAATTAATAAAAAGGAATCAACAGGCAAATGAGGCAAAAGCTGGATACTTTAGATGGAAACAAAAAGACTACTGTTATTTTCAAAGATATGAGCTAGGAAGGAGAAAGTTAGCTAAATGAAGACTGGCTGAAATACCAATGGTATAAGTAGAAAAAACATTTAAAGGCAAAAATTATTCTAGATAAAGGAAAAAATATTTTTAAAAATTTAAAAGAATTATTCATAGGATACAGACTAGAAATTTAACATTTTAAAGAATAAAAGAAAGTTAATGGGCAGCTAGCTTTATTGGATAAGAAGGAAGAGCCAAAACAAATGATGCTGAAGGTCAGCAAATGTTCTCTACCTCCAGAAACAGCAACTGATACCATGCAACTCACCTGTGAAAGAAACTAAAGCCAGAAGGCAGGAAACTGTTAAAAGGATGACTTTTAATATACTTTTATTGAAACTATAAATCTACATGACTTGCATTTTAGGACACTATAAAATAATTAGTTGAAATCACATTGGGATCATTAATTATATTTGGGAATTCTTGGAGAACCAGACAGAAAACAAAAAGATTATAAAATAATCTCAGAAGTTGACATGAACTCAAATTCTAAGCCTGGCTAAGAAACAACAATAAGAAATTATGCCTACATAACCCACTTGAATCAAAGTGTGGAATATGATATGTCAAGAAATTTGTAATGTTTTGAACAACCCACAATAAAAAAAAAAAAAAAATTATGCCTAAATTCAGTACATAACTGCTGTAAAGATAAAAATAAAGAATAAATCTTTTAAAACTAGTAATTTGAGGGGCTGGAGTTGTGGCTCAGTGGTAGAGTGCTTGCCTAGCATGTGTGAGGCACTGGGTTCGATTCTCAGCACCACATATAAATAAATAAAAGTCCATCAACAACTAATAAAATATTTTAAAAAATCTACTCATTTGACAGTCAAGCAGGCTGGTAGAAACAAAGTCATAGCCACTTTTATAGAGAAACTTTGGTCTGGATCATGCAACTTTTGGCACATTTGTACATGGCCTTTATTAGCTATGACTCAGATTAAAAGTGCCAATGCCATGAGATATCCCTTGAGTATAATGAATTAACTTCTCTCTCACACATGTAAAATGGTTTACCTTCCTTGAGAGAATTGTGGAAAAAAAAAAAAGTAACCAAAATAACTTTCTGTTGTACAAATAAGGAACTCAACTGAGAATAATTGGAAAAAATGTTAACATGGAAAATAACGTAGGTAGTTTTTTCAGGGTCAAGTAGAGAAGTACACAGTGGTAAATAATAGCTTTCAAATATAAAGAATCTTACATAAAGATTGTTAAGTAATGGAAAAAAGAAATCAGTACACGCCATAGCCAGAACAGATACGTTAGTCAAAGAGAGGATCTTGACAGTGAGAAGTTTTAATAATTTCTTATGTATACTAAAATAAAGATGCAATTATCATTCCCAGAGGCCTTAAAAAATAAAATACTACAGGCTCTAAATTTTTAGAATTTAGACTAAATTTTTCTAAAAGGTGGAATTTATCATCTAATATTACTGTTGACATAAAGCAAAGGGTGGCAATTTTTTTTTCTTAAAAGGCCAAACAAACATTTAGGCTTGCAGATTGTTATAATCTCTGTCACAACTATTCCAACTCTGCTGTTTATTGCAAAAGCAGACACAGACAATAAATACATAAACAAAAGGGATTGGCTGTGTACCAATAAAAGTTTTTTGTTGTTATTGGTTTTTTTTTTTTTTTTTTGGTACCAGGGATTAATCTGGGGGCACTTAACTACTGAGCCACATCTCAAGGGCTTTTTATATTTTATTTTGAGACAGGGTCCCATTAAGTTGCTTACTTCACTAAGTTGCTGAGGCTGGCTTTGAACTCATTGTTCTCCTGCCTCAGCCTTCTGAGTTGCTGGGATTACAGGCATGTACCATCACACTTTCAAAAAATTTCAAGTGAAACCAGTGTTAAACTCAAATAGTTTCATAAGCTTAGGCATATTTCATATAATCCTAGATTTCAGATTGTTGCTATCACCAATCTATTGGAAAATTTAAGACCTACTTTGTGCACACCCTCCCCAAATTTCCTGGTGAAATAATGTAACAAAAGATACCTTAAGAGGCGTGAAGGCAGAAGAATGAAGCAGGGTAACAGCACAGCCCACTTGATTCAACCCTGACAGCGACTAAATTTCAAAAAGAGGAAGAGAAGAAACAGAAGGCAGCATTTATGTTAGCAAAATGCCAGGCAGGCAGATCTGATCAGTGAAATTAGAGAAGGAAAAGTCATTGACAAACTTTTCAAAATGTTTTACCAAGGTTATTAATAAGTTTGAAGGAGAATATTTTGGGGGAAAATCCCCATCATTTATACAACATAGGATCTCTACCTGAATAATTCAGGATATTTGTAATATCTCATACCATATTAATGAAGAACCAAGAGGCATGAGTTAATAAAAATTATTTTACACAGAAATAAAACTAAGAACATCAATATTTTTAGCAAAATAGTTTTCAAACTATTGAGTCCTTTGCTGTTCCTATAGCAGGGAAAATGAACCAGTCAATTTTAACTGAGCAGAACTGGCTTCAGAACAATATTTTAAAAATATTAATCCAAATTAATTTATTATAATCCAATTTAAGGCTCTGATGTGAGAACACAGGACATAACAATTCTGTATCACACCTTAAGGATAAACCAGCATTTCATTTCTGCCTCTGTGAAATTCCAAATGACCTATAAGAGGGTAGGGAAGAATCCCCCTACCCCCTGTTTTTAATCCTTTATCTTTCATCAGCCAACATACAACTAGTTAGGTATATTACAGATATTATAAGAAATACTGTTAGAAACTAATGTCTATGTATGATTATTACTCAACATCTGAAATTAAAATAAAAAAGAAGCCATTATATAGATTTTTGATTATAGCTAAGACGGTCAAGACATAGAACTTTTTCCTTTTGCCACATGGGAAATAAAAATCAGAGAAGATTTTTCAGAAAGGAACTGAATAAGATTTACCTACTATGACAATAAAATGGCAAAAGCTTAAAGCTATTAAGGTCTTTATAAATTAAATAATAAAAAAAAATTAAACTAGGGATACATCATGGGATAAATGAACAAAAACATAGGTGGGCATTTATTTATTTATTTTGGTATCAGGGATTGAACTCAGGGGTGCTTAAACACTGAGACACATCCCCAGCCCATTTTTGTATTTTATTTAGAGACAGAGTTGCTTAGGGCTCGCTAAGTTGCTGAGACTGGCTTTGAATTCACGATCCTCCTGCCTCAGCCTCCTGAGCTGCTCCCGACCATGCCCAGCATAGGTGGGCATTTATAAAAGGGTCTATGTGTATTTAATAGGATAAATACACCTTTTTTTTCCCCCCTAGATAGGGTCTTTCTCTGATGCCCAGGCTGGTCTTAAACTTTGTGGACTTGTGATCTGCCTGCCTTAGCCACCCAAGTAACTGGGACTATAGGCATGCAACACCATGCCTGATTACAACTATATTTTTAATGAGAATTAGTAGAGAACAGTATATATATTTTTTATTTTGACAAAAAAGCATGTAACCAATAATATATTTCTGTGACAAAATCTATTTTAACACAGAAACAAATATTGTGCCAAAGAATAAGACCATGACAATGGTAAGACAAGTGTATGCTTCATCTGTTCAGATTTCCTAGACTTCCTTTTAATTAAATGTTTTGGAACTACAGTCAATCTCAAATATAAAAAGTCTAGAAGCCACCGGGTGCCGTGGTGCACACCTGTAAACCTAGCTAATCAAAAGGCTGGGGCAGGAGGATTGCAAGTTTGGGTCTAGCCTCATTTTGCAATTCAGTGAGGTCCTGTATCAGAATAAAAATACAAAAGGTTAAGGAATGCAGTACAGGGAGACATAAAAGGTTAAAAGCAACAGGCACTTGAGATGCGGCCCTAAAAGAATATTAGTGTAACTGGCATTAAATGTTACTAATATATATTTCAAATCCTAAATTACAAGGTCTTTAAATCAAATTCAACCTTTTCCTTCTTGTAACATCAGACATGTTCATGACAAAACAATTTAATGAGCAATTATTAGATATATAACATTTATGTGTTCATTCAATAAATATTTACTGAGCACCTAATATATTCCCAGGAACTATGGTGGGGCCAGGGTATGAAAGGGTAAATATGACAGAGAATATCCTTGTGCCCCTGAAGCTTACAGTCTGGTAGTCCAATAGGGGAAATATATTTTTAAAAAATGTAAATGAAAGTACTATAAAGAAAAAAATAACAACGAAGACAATTTGATTTGAGGAAAGGAAGCCATAGAAAACTATTTTGAAGATGAGACATTGTTAAACAGACACCTGATTAATGAGGAGGAATCAATCAAAAGGAATATGCAGGGAGGGAGAGGCATTCTGGTGTAAGGAGAGAACAGCCCTTTGCAAAGGTCCTCAGGTGGGAAAGGGCTTACCATATCTGTAGAGCTGGGAAAAATCCTAGAGTGAGCCCAGATATGAGCCTGGAGAGGCAGGCAGTAGCCAGAGCACAAAAGCTTTGAGGCCAGGTTAAGAGGTCTAGACTTCAAGAGCAATTTAATGTCTTCGAAGAATAATTTTGAGAATATCAAAGCTATATGATTTAAAATATGACTTAGGAAATATGATTTAAAATAGGACTCTTTTGTTCAGGGTTAGCTGGATATTATTTGGCATACAAAAAAATGTGAGATTTGTTTTTAAAGGCCACCTATACTTACAAAGTCAATATGGTTCTTGGTGTACATGTTCTACCTTTCCAACATGCATACTGATAATACATACAAGTATATATGTTTTGACAAATGGTTGAAGGATGTTTCAAATTTCATGCTAAGGAAATTTTGCTTTTTTTTTTTTTTCAATTTCTGCTTTTTTCTTGAAAAAAACTATTGGGCACTCAGACTTATATCACTTACAATATGTGTTATTAAATCTCATCTTCAGTGCCTGAACTGTTTTCAGTTACAATGTAGGAGCAATATAGCAAATATAGCAGGGTATTTATTGCAGGTCCTTGAGTGAGCCAGACCTAGACTCAAACCTCGCCTTACGCTTACCAGCTAAGTGACCTTGGAAAGGCCACATTTTGGACAAGATATTCTGTGCCTCAGTAATTACTTATGAAATGGTGCTAAATTTAACCTTAACTCTTGCTATGAAAATTGAATGAGATAATTTTGTGTGCAGATCATCAGCAGTCCTATCTTTCCATATTAATTTAAACTAATTTTATTTCTCATGCCAATTCCACTAAAACTCCAGAGACTGGTGATTGTATTCATTTGTAAAACTGCCAGTTAAAATGTGCTTTATCTATCTCAAAGGAAATGAAGATTGGAGAATACATAGAAAATTTAACAAACAATGGAAGTTTCTGTAGTAGGAGTCTCACATGAAAGCATGCAATTTATATAGTATGCACAATGGCAACAGTTTCCAGCACATAGGACAGAATTTGCTATACACATTAGCCTTTTGAACTGCTAGTTTTCATTACTATTATAGAATAATAACATAAAACATGATGGGAAAAGCAATTCTATAAATGGTTAGAATTCTCTTGCAAGGCTAATCAGCAGATAGCATTCCAGTTAATGTTTTTTTTTAGTTTAAAGAATGGTCATGGAGGGATAATCTTGAGATGCAAATATTTAAAACCTAAGTCTGGGATTTTTAGTAGCTTATAATACATAATAAATAGGATACCAAATATATAATTGTATAATTAGTATCACAGAGTAAGGGGTTTCATTTAACATACAGATGACTCATGAGTCAAATTATAATTAATAAAGTATCACCTGGAATTAGAAAAGACATTTAAAAAACTCTAACATAAAGTCAATGTGGTTCTCAATGTAAATGTTTCATCTTGGGAAGCACTAACATGTGAATCATAGCTGCAGAACTCTGAAACACTTGGTAAATCACAAATGGTAAAGCAGTGAAATAGTTCTAGTTGTTTATAAAGCATTTAGTAATGATGCTCATCATGTTTTATGGTATTTTACCATAATTAGATAATTTCTGAGTGAAAGCACAATAACTATTCTTCAATATTTAGAAATAGCAGCATAAAACTCCATTTTGCATAAACTCTTACCACTAACAAGGCACTATCATCAGTGTGTTGAGACCTTCTGGATGGGAAAGGACACTGGAGATGTGGAAAAAAATGAATCAAATCAAAAACAAACTACGCACACAAGCGATACATTTAAAAAATACGCACACAAGGAAAGAGACGTAAGTCACTTTTGAAGAGCTGACACATAGGATCATGTTCACAATCACTTGGAATTCATATACAATAGCCAATAAACACTGATGTTCTTCCAAAGAGTTTAAACAACTTCAAATATGATCTTTTTTTAACTTTTTTTTTTATTTGTAGATGAATACAATACCTTTATTTATTTATTTTTATGTGGTGCTGAGACTTGAACCCAGTGCCTCACACATGCTAGGTAAGCACTCTGCCACTGAGCTACAACCCCAGCCCTTCAAATATGACCTTACTGCCTAAAAAACCCTCTAAGGAGGGATCTGGGGTTATTTTCTGTTCACGGAAGAGAAAGCTGATACCTGATATAATATAAAGAATTTGCAGTCATCTAGTGAACCAGTGGTAAATTTAAAAATAAATCCTAGAGACATGATTTCTGGTGTATAAATGGTTAGAATTTTCTTGCAAGGCTAATCTGCAGACAGCATTCCAGTTAATGTTTTTCTGAGTTTAAAGAATAGTTAAGGAGGGATAATCTTGAGATGCAAATATTTAAAACCTAAATCTGGAATTTTTAGTAGCTTACAATACATAATAAATAGGATACCAAACATAAAGTTGTATAATTAGTATCACAGAGTAAGGGGCTTCATTTAACATACAGGTGACTCATGAGTCAAATTACATCTCTTCATTACCTTTCTCTGTAAATAAGGTATAATTAAACAATTTAAACCTATACATTTTTTTTAGTGAAGCTTTAGTTTTCAGAGAATGAATTACTCAAGAACAATCATCAAAAAGGAAATGTTGGGGTAAAAAATGGAAAATGTATTATTAAGCATATCACACTCTGATTGTCAAAGGCTTGTACAGAATTATTATTATGTGAAAACAACTAAAAATGTCTCAATGACTTTTTCAGGTATTATACAAATATATAAAGTTCTCATATAAATAGAATTAGTTATTATAATTCAATAAGATTTTAAAACACTTTTCTAATGGACATTTTTAGAGCAGATTATGCTAAGTGAAGTTAGCCAATCCCTAAAAAACAAATGCCAAATGTCTTCTCTGATATAAGGGGGGTGACTCAAAATGGGATAGGGAGGAAGAGCCTGAGAAGACGACTACCACTAAATAGGGAAGAGAGGTGGGAGGGAAAAAGAGAGAGAAGGGGAGTTGCACAGAAGATGGAAGGAGAACCTCATTGTTATACAGAATACATATATGATGTTGGGATGAGAAAAAGAAAAAAAAAAGTGTGTCACTTTGGATTGTATAGAGAGAAAGGATAGGAGAGGAGGGGAGGAGTGGGGGGATAGGAAGGGCAGCAGAATAGAACAGACATTATGATTGATATATGTACATTCCATGTATGTATTATATGTCAAAATACATTCTGCTGTCATGTATGACTAAAAAAAATAAATCATATGGTACTTAAAAAAATAAAATATAAACATTCTAAATATATTTTCTCATACTAAAAAAACTTGGGTTGTCTGTCTATCTATCTATCTATCTATCTATCTATCTATCTATCTATCTATCTATCTATCTATGAGGTATTGGGGACTGATCCCAGTACCTCAAATTCACTATTTCCCATACCTATTTTCCTCCAATTTGTTCATTTCTATTATTATCACAAATAATAATCTTAGAGCTTCTAGGATTATCTTGCATTATAGAGAACATTTTGAAATGGATAAGAAGGGGATGATGTCCCTAGCAGAGATGAGGAGGGTAAGAAATCTCTAGAGTGATATACATGTAGATGAATACATACATATAAAATCCTGACCTAGAAATTTTGATAATCCCTAGCCTGTATCTTCTTAAGTACAATTTTGTGATGGAAAAAAGAAAAAAGGCAATATTTTGATCACTGAAAGAATGATAATCACTTCAAAACATTTCATTCCCACTATAAAAATAATAAATCCCTCCCCCAAAGTAATTATATAGACTTACCTCACCATCTGTGGGGGGTTGTTGCTTTTGTGGACTTTGTGATGCTTTTTGCTACATGCCCCAAACCCCCACAAAAAAAGAAAGTTGGTCAGAATCTGGAACACATATTTGAAATGGTAAACTGTATTTACTAAACCAATTATAGTAATTTCCTTATTTTTTATATATGACGCTTTATGTTACACCCTACCTTAAATATTTTACAATTTAAATGAAGAAAAACAACAAACTATACTATCATATTTCTATCAGTATTTAAAAAAGAAAAAAGAAATTTAAAACTTTAGGTATACCTATATACACATTGTGCCATTATATTCTTTCAATATTCTCTCAATATGAACTCAATCCTTCTTCTCTAATGGCTTTAAATATCATGCTAATACTGACAACTTGAATTTTCTATTAGCTAAGTCTCAGACATTTTCAATTGCTTATTCAAACTCTACTTGGAAACTCAATGTCATTGCATTATCAACATATGCAAAAACAAATTCACTATTTAGTATACCTATTTTCCCCCAATTTGTTCATTTGTTATTATCACAAATAATACCAATATCAGTGTATTCAGTGTTTTACAATGTGTTCTTACACACAGTTTTCTCAAGTGACTTTTCTTATTCTGTGAAATAAACAAAAACCATAATTCAGAGATGAGGAAACTGAGCAAAGAGCTTATGGGGCAAGTACAAATTTACACCTTTCTTCTGACCTCAAATCCAACATACTCCCCACATGCTAGATTCCCACTAAAACCTTTCATTTAGTCTCAAAACTTTGCTTTGGAACCTTCTTTTCTTCATTCATCTTCATGATTTATTCATCATTTGTCACTACATATCTATTGTGCAAAGTATAAAAATGCTTCTTTTGAAATGCCTCTTGATAAAATTCACTGTAGGGCTGGGGATATAGCTCAGTTGGTAGAGTGCTTGCCTCACATGCACAAGGCCTGAGTTCAATCCCCAGAACCATGAAAAAAAAAAAAAAATCCACTGTAGTGCTCTGTGTGGTGGTGCACACCTATAATCCCAGCTACTTGTGAGGCTGAGGCAGGACAATGGTAAGTTCAAGGCCAGCCTGGGCAATTTAGCAAGACCCTGTTTCAAAATAAAAAATGGGAATGTAGCTCAGTGGTAGAGTGTTCCTGGGTTCAACATCCCTTACTGGACAAAATCCACCGTAGTAGAGTATTAAATATTAGGTATATCTATCATAATTCTGAAAGTTAACACTTTATAATTAAATATTGTAAGAAACAAAAGGTACAGAATAGTTCAATAACTTTCCAAAAATCAAGCACATACAAAGGACAAAGTTGGATTCAAATTCAGATATTTCCAATTCTAAACTCATGTCACTATGTAACTCTGTCAACCCTCTGTCACCTTAGAAATCTTCTAGTTTTATGTCCTCACTTTGCACCATTTTCTTAATTAATGCAATTACCATTTTATTTCTTCTTTCTAGCTCTTTCTTCCTGACCTGTTCTAACATGAGTAGACTAGTTTTTCAGAAGTATTTATATTTTTTTTGCTTTTCTCCTACTTACGAACTTAAAATTGTTCTCTTCTGCCTAAATTAGATTATGATTTAATTTGACATTTAATCATGACCATCTGTAGTGTAATTATTTATCTCTTACTAGCTATGTAACTTCTACAACAAACAAAGCTAAAATTGAGTAAATTTATGAAAAATGCATAGAATAGCACCTAGTGTATAGTAAGTGTTAACAATGATCAATTATTGAGGGGCAGTACAGCATTATGGTCAGAGTAGGGTCTGGAGCCAGTCTGCTTACTAGCATTCTTGCTCTGTGGCTTACTAGCAGAGTATTTGAAATTAATCTTAGGCAAATTGTTATCCTCCCTGAGCATAAAAAGAGAATATCCTAGTACTTATCTTATTTGACTACTGGGAGGACCAAAAGAGTTAATATAAGTGCTTGAAACAGTATGTGGGGTAAATAGTGATCATTCAGTAAATTTAGGAAGTATCATCAGCATCATCTTTACCATCTCACCAATTCATTTTTTCTATTGGTCTTCAATAAGAACTCAAACCAAGATGGTACTTTGCTTAAGTGCCATTATTACTGATGTTGTTTTGGTACTAGAGATTGAACTCAGGGGCACTTTACAACTGATCTACATCCCCACCCTTTTTATTTTGAGACAGGGTCTCACTAAGTTGCCCAGGCTGGCCTTAAATTTGCAATCCTCTTGTTTCAGCCTCTCAGCCTCCCAAGTAGCTGGGGTTATTACAGATATGTGCCACCACGCCTGGCAAGTGCCATTATTTTAAATGTATAACTTAATAAAGCTCGTTCCTAGCTCATGACCTATTCATAAATTCTTGCAACGCAGAATAAACTCATCTTTAGACCATCATCCATTCTTTTCTTCCTGGCTACCCATTCGTTCTTCTAAGTCCCTTGTCACTTCCTTCTGAGGTCAATTCTGATACTTGTTTTCTAATTTCTCCTTTGTCTTTGATACAAAACTAGTACTTTTTATTATAAGCTATCTTATTTTCTGTTTTATGTATATATTTGTTTTCCCCTAATAAGATCTAAGCTGTGTCTGGTGGGCATAACTTGTATATTAAGCATTTTTTTATTGCTTATACAGGTACATAATAGCATTCTATAAGGATCTATCATCAAGTCAGTGAATGAATAAATGAACAAGTTAGGCTTTAGACTAAAGCCTTCTGACTATGAAAATGAATTAATTGTATATAATTACATAGCTTAATTTCCCTAGACCTGCAGATTCCTTGTCTGTGAAACATGATAAATACTCTCATCTTCTCCATTACAAAAATTAAATAAACCAGGGTTGCAGTTGTGGCTTGGTGGTAGAGTGCTTGCCTTGCACGTGTGAGGCACTGGGTTCAATGCTCAGCACCACATAAAAATAAATAAATAAATAAACCGATAAAGAATTTTGATTAGTTTTAAAAGGACTAAAAAGAAGAGACATCTCAGGATAGATAGACGGGACAGAAGGACTGAGAGATAATACAGTTAGTTGAGATAACTTTTCAAAGCTCTATAAAGTTCTATTTGGAAGAATATTAATTTTATTTTTTTTGCCATTGGTCAAACAATATGACTTCTTCTTCTTTTTCTTCTTATTATTTGGTACTGGGGATTGAATCTAGGAGCTCTCAACCACTAAGCCACATCCCCAGTCCTTTTTATATTTTATTTGGAGACAGCGTCTCTCTGAGTTGCTTAGGGCCTTGCTAAGTTGCTGAGGCTGGCTTTGAACTCATGATCCTCCTGCCTTAGTCTCCCTAGCTGCTGGCATTACAGGCATGTGCCTCAGCACCCAACTATCTGACTTAATTTTGACAGCAAATATTAGGCACTGGAACTTTTCAGATAAAGAAGAATCAGGTGAGAAAAGAGCTAAAGATCATCATTATGGGCTTGTTATATTTTGGGGCGGGGGGGAAAGCAAAATTGTCAGGTTAAACAGTAAAACAGATGAGTACAGTACTTTAAAAGGTGGTCTTTGGTTAAACTTATCAAACAAAGGAAAGAAAGCTTTTAGAAGATAAAAATGATTCATTCATTTAACAAATATCTATTGAACTTTTCTGTGGGTTCAGAACTGCTAAGTTTTAGGGATACAGCAACTAAGTAAAAAAGACATGGTTCTTATCTTTGTGTAGTTTGCAGGAACATGGAGAGAAATATATTAAGCTTACAAAATTACAAACAATTAATTATGAAGAAAATTACAAAGCAATTTCAGAATGAAAAGATAAATCACACAAATAAAATAAGATGATCAAAATTCATATGCTACAACAGAGGCTACAAAATGTTAAGAAACATTAACTGGGGTTACTGAGTGGATATGGGGAAGAAAGGGAAAGAATCACAGATGATTATAAAGGGCTGGGGCTGTAGGTCAGTGGTAGAGTGTTTGCTTAGCATGTGAGGCACTGGGTTTGATTCTTAAAAATTAAATTTTAAAAAGATGATTATAAAAAATGAAGCCTGTGAGTTTAGCAAATTTTTGGTATATTTACTAGAGTGAAGAAGTAGGAGAGAGGTTTGGACAATGAGATTTCATGCTTGCATGGCATTTTTACAGTTTACCCAGCACTTTCAGTTTTATGATCTTACTGATCTTTACTATGACTCTAGAGATCAAAGAAAGCTGGATAGTAAAGTGATATGTCCAATGGCAGTGTGCTAATTAAGAGGAAGCAATTATTGTTAAAAAGGAAGATCATCATTTCTATTATCTTATAATCACTCACTACTAGGGGAGACAGTCACTCTATTTACTCAAGATTCCTTACAATAAGAGAAAAAAAATGATGTTTTAATTAAGACAATAAAAACTGACAGGGCTGGGGCTGTAGCTCAGAGAGCTTGCCTAGCACTTGTGAGGCACTGGGTTGGATCCTTAGCACCACATAAAAATAAATAGATAAAATAAAGGCATTCTGTCCATCTACAACTACAAAAATAAATACATACTTAAAAAAAAAAAAAGAACTGACAGTCTCCACAGAACAAATAAGCACTTCTAAGAACTTTAAGAGTATCAGTCAATGAGTTCAAATGACTCACCTTGACAAAATCCAGGACAGCATCTCTCTGAATCTGCTTAGTCCTTATTTTCTCCTCCTCATACTGCAGGGCAGCAAGCTGTGCTTCTCTCCTAGTGCGCTCTACTAATAGTTCTTTTCTCCGATGAAGTTCCAAGTCTGTATGTGACAGCTGCAACAAAGGTATCATTTTGTACATGCAAATGGAGATGAGAATCAACTTATCAAGATTCCCTATTAATACAGGCAAATAATGTTAATTTAAGTAACTTTGCAGTCACCTAGCATTTTTTTCAATGTGTTTATTCCTAATCTTTTCCACCTTTGCGCTTTCTTACACCTACTATAAAGCTATTACTATAGATAAAGTTTCATTTTCTGTCTGGTGTCTGAAAAACAGCAAATACCATGTGCATGTTGTATTATCTGACCAAGAAGACAGTGTACAAGAGTGCACAATTTAATGGCCACTGCAGGTTTGGCTAGAAGTCCAATGTGCTATCCATTTTGCCACAGTTAGTTACTCTTACGGCAATTTAAGTACTCCATTTTAGTTTTTAAAAATCAAAGTTGAAACACAAAAATAAATAAATCTGCTAATATTTACCTGATTGTGACTTGGTGATAGTGATAAGTGAGAAGATGGCTCAACTGGAACCCTGATCCAAAAAAAAAAGGAAAAATTCTTTGATACAGACACATAAGGGACAAGTGAAATATTTATCATTACTGTATCTTTCTGTTATATCAGTAAGATGTTTAGGTAGCACTGAAAGAGTAACTGCATTTTGTAAACTTAAGACTAAGTCATTAAATTTAACCACAGAAATAACTAATGTCTCCAACTCATATTTCATGTGATGGTATCACTGATTATTCTACAGCTAGTTAACAACTGTCAGTGTCAGACGATACTGACATACAGCTAGTTGGGATCACTTTTCAAACGGTATCATTTCTTTATGATGTATACAACTATTATCCTCTTTCCTCCTATGACCGGAACAAGATACATGTAAATTGAGATCCTTTTATATACAAAGCCATTTTATCAACAGAAATCTGGAATACTACAAAACCTGGGAACTGTACTTGTAAAGCACTTCTATACTTACTTTCAACTGATAAAAAATAATTTTAATAACAAAGATTCTGTTGACTTTTATTCTTAAGAAAGAGATGAAGCTCTATTTGATACTTAAAAACAACAAGTACTGGGGCTGGGGTTGCAGCTCAGTGGTGGAGCGCTTGCCTAGCATGCGTGAAGCACTGGGTTCGATCCCCGGCACCACATTAAAAAAATAAAATAAAATAAAGGTATTATGTCCATCTGCAACTAAAAGATACATATAAAATAACAGGTACTATCTGCCTCTTAGTGTTATTAATGCTAATTATTATACTCTGATATTTACCCTTTTTCTGAACCAGATTTAGTGTCTTAAGTCTCTGTAACTCATTTTTGTGCCTGAAACTAAAAATGTTGGAGTAATGACTTTCCGACATTTAGTACCTGAAATCTGAAATAATTATTAGCCTGTCAGGGTGATTTAAATGCACTGAAATAAGTATGCTATCAGAGAAATAAAAACAAATCTTCAAAGCACTAATAGTTCTCATTACTCCTGTGATGGCTATGAAAAGTTTAAGATGGAACAGGGAAGCCTGGCATATGCAAATGGTAGTAAAGAAGACATCTGAATCTGAGAATGACCCAGTTCTTCCATACCAATCACCAGGTGGTAATGTTGGGCCATTACAGCTTTGTTATTCCTCAGTGTTGCCATGATCTTCATGTTGCATGACTTTTTTTTTTTTATCTATAAACACGTTCTCCAATATAAGCATCTCCTACTTTTCAAATAGGACCTTTTTTTTTTTTTTTTTTGTAAAATATTGCCCTGCACATGATAGGTAGTTTAGCCTCAAAGCCTGCCAGTATCACCTGCAGCTCATTTTGGCAACCAATTCCCACAATACATAAACACATTTCCAAGTATCCTCTTGGGAGTGGTGCTGTATACTTTGTTGAGAAACACTGGTCTATCTTAAGTGAACTGCCAGGCATGGTGGCACACATCTGTAATCCCAGTGGCTTGGGAGGCTGAGGCAGGAGGATCTGGAGTTCAAAGCCAGCCTCAGCAATGAGGCTCAACTCAGGGAGACACTGTTTCTAAATAAAATACAAAATAGGGCTGGGGATGTGGCTCAGCAGTTGAGTACCCCTGAGTTCAATCCACAGTATCAAAAAAAAAAATATGTGTGTGTGTATCATAACATACATACATATATAAATAGATAGACACATATATATGAACTGAAACTTAAGCTACATTATTACTGTTCTTTTCTCACTTTTTAAAAAATATTGGTTCCAAAACTTTGAGGTATTCACAACATTCCCCCCAACACACACACACTTTTTTTTTTAAATGAAACTTGCTGAGTGGCAGAAGTATTGTAGCATACTGCAGTAGAAGCTGTTCTTAAGCACTGATGGAGCTGGAGCTGGTGATATAAACGACTATAAGCTCATAATTTCCTGCTTATTGGACAGGTGGATATCTTACTTTGCCTAGATGCCTAGACTTGTGCCTGAGATGCTGACTCTCTGATAAAATAACAGAGGCAATGGGAATAATCTACCATCCACACAAACCTACACAAATCTCCAAGGTTTGGCCTAATTCAATGAATTATTTATTAGTTTAAAGTTATTAAACTTCCTTGAGCCTCAACTTTCTCGTTTATAAAAAATGAGGATAATTATGTATCCTCAGTAAGATGCTATGAAAATTAAATAAGATACTGCATGTATACACAACTCATAAAAGTATATTCTAATGACTATATATTTATAAAAACAGGAATTAGCTACCTTTGTCTTTAGATTACTAATTTCACTGCTAAAGTTTCCTGTGGCTTTTATTGACCATGTGTAGATGAACTGGACCAAAACACAGAAAGAGCCAAACAAACCCATTCTAAGAATGTTTATGTACCATAAATTTAGCACTATGTTATACAATGGTTTTTTTTTGTGTGTGTGTGTGTGTGTGTGTGAGTGTGTGTGCTGTGTGTGCATGTGTGTATCAGGGATTGAACTCAGGGGCACCTGACCACTAAGCCACATCCCCAGCCCTATTTTGTATTTTATTTAGAGACAGTCTCACTGAGTTGCTTAGTGCCTCGCTTTTGCTGAAACTGGTTTTGAACTCCAGACCCTCCTGCCTCAGTCTCCCGGGTTGCTGGGATTACAGGTGTGTGCCACTGTGCCTGGTCCAAAATTCTTTAAAAATCCATGTCTTCATTTTATCTCATCAATTTATTTTGTTCCCACTCCAAAATGAATCCTGTTTTTAACTTCACTGAACTGCTCTTTTAGTTCCCAAATTTGCCAATGATAAACATTCCCAAATCTAATATTTATGTCCTAGTCTTTACCTTACTGAACCTATCAGTAGTTTATGTCTTTTTTTTTACGATTTAAATCACTCTCTTCATTTAGCCTCTGAGACAACCCTCTCTTCTATCCTTATGACTACTCCTCAGGTTCTTTTGCTAGTTGTTCAAGCTCTAATTCTCTCCACTTTACTTTAAACATCATCATCCACCCCAAACCTGTCCTGCCTTGTTCAGACTCCTTGGTGTTTCTTAAATATACCAAGTATGTGCTTGCCTCAGGGTCTTGCCTAGAAGTTTCTACCCTTTATGGCCATGGTGCTTGCTTCATGACATTGTCAGATTTCTACTGAAATAGCATCACCTAATAATACATTACTTTTACTTTTCTCTCACCTTGACACTATGATCTCTTTCAGTCCGTTTTATTTTTCTTTATAGCACTTAGCAAGGCCAGACACGTATTTGTAACATACATTTGTCTACATCTACTAAAAGGAAAACTCCAAAATATCAGGGACCTAGATCAGAGCCAGAATCATTGTAGTGCTCAAGAAATACTATTTGAATGAATGGCACTGGCATTGTCTCCCAAAAGAATGGAATATTGGCACATAAGAAACAAAAATGCAGGTAAAACATACATCTTTTAAATCTTGTAACTTGAGCTGAGTAAATCCAAACTTTATAAGGCAGATTTTGAATTGTTCTCTTTGTAAAATCACTTAATGTGAGTAGTTTTTTTTTTAACCTTTAATATGCACGAGACAAAAAACTTCCAGGCTTAACCCAAATGTTCTTTACTTTCATATCGCTTCTTACAAAAATTAATAAACTTTACAGGACCCAGCCCATTATTGGCATCTCTCCTACATTAAAATGCTATTCAAATTATAAGCAGTCTTTTTTAAAAAAATGATATTTTGATAATTAAAAAATGATAATTTTTGCTAGCTTCAAATTCAAAGTTACATAATTTATCTTGGCAAATAACTATAAAACACTCACCAATTTACTAAACTTTCTATTTAAACTTTCCTAACCTCAGGAGGTAGGCTGGGGGTATGTAAAGAGGAAAAGAGCTTGGTGGATGAGGGGAAAGGAAGGGAATTGAGAGACAAAACCAAGTAAGCAACTTTCTTTGTCAGTTCACTAGCAGAGAGCCAGGATAAGAGTGGGCAAGTAGCAATTTGTTAACTGACTGAATTCCTTTGCGTCTTTGAAGCTGTCAGACTGCTGAGACAGATTCTTTTTGTTAACATATTATCCAAGTAACATACAAGTCTTGTGAGCCTGAGAGAGTTGTCAGGCATTTTGAGGCGATTGTGTATTTCTAGGTTCTTATTCATTATTCCAATTTAATGTAAGCTCATGGAGGGAATTGTGACTGATGTTCATAAATAAATCTCCACACCCAGAAAAGTACCGGCACGTAGTAGATATTTAACAAACATCTCCTATATAAACAAATGAAGTATATATTGATCTTAGAGTTTAACTGGTAACTGGAGTTAAAGTGTGAAATTCTTATTCAAGGACTACATTAGACTTTAGTGATTTGAAATATCCAATTAAGAAGTAATTATGGATTTCATTTCTAGCATTGGGTCTGACTAAACACCTTGAATGACTCTTCCAATGGAAACAACTACAATGCTGAAAGTAATATTTAAAATATATTGCTAAATACATTGCTAAGGTACCATGAAAAAAAGAATACTAGATTCTAAAAGAGAATTAAAATAGAAACTTTGGATTAAATAGTGTTAGGTAGACTCAGCCCCCATGTCTTATTCCAATGAACATGCTGGATTATATGGAAGAGGGGTCTTTACAGAAGAAACTGAGGTTACTAATCAGTTGACCTTAAAATTGGGAGATTATCTGGGTGGACCTAATGTAATCATGAGTCCTTAAAGCAAAAGAAGCCAAAAGTTTATGAGATGGGCAGAAAGGAAAGTCAGAAAGGCTTAAAATGTCCGAAGATTTAGCCCACCATTGCTTCTTGAACATGGAGGGGGCCACAAACCAAGGAATGCGGGTGGACTTTATATTTAGAACAATTCCTGACAGATAACAAGGTAACAAGGTCCTTAGTCTATAACTACATGAATTGCATTCTGTCAACAACATGTACAAGCTTGTAAGTGGATTCTTCTCCAGAGTCTCCAGATAAAAATTTAGGGCATGTACCTGTTCACTGCAACCTGCACCCACAAACTTAAGGGGACCACCCTCCACCCAAGATGTGGCACCACAGGCTGACCCTGCTGGTGTTTGTGGCCATGTTGCTGATTGTCCTGCTGCTAGTGGTATGCAATTTGTATTTAGTATGGTATTAGTTTTTATCTTTATTCAATTTTCTCTGGGAACTGGTAGAGACACAGGATCCCAGGAAGGAGATCATGAACTTTTGGGGTCTGAAACTGAAGAAGATACTTCATCCTCTCCACACAGGACAAAATCCCCTCACCAAAGGAAGCTGCCTACTGATGAAGGCCATTGACCCTAGACATGGTACTTTATTAGTAAATGATGAAAGGCAATTTTTGAGCCTTTGTCTTTAGTGAGTTGGCTTTGAAATTTAATAAATGACTAAATAATACTGTACTTGGATTTCATATGCAGTTCAAAAAATTTAAATGTAAGCCATATAGTAATAAAGGGCTTAGGCCAGTCAACACCTTGACTTTGGTCTTTAAAGATTCTAAGCAGATAAGTTATGCAAGCTAGCCTAGAATTCTATCCTATAGAACTGTGATAAAATAAATGGGTGTTTTAAGCTGCTAAACTTAATAGATACAAGACAAAACTAATACATAAAGTAACTGAGTAAAACAAACAGCTGACTTTTACCTTGAGGGTCTCTACTAAATCCTGGAGATCTTTAGCCTCACCTATGATGGACATAGAAGGTGAGAGGGATGGGAGATAAAACTTAGGTCTGCCCAAGGTGAGGAAATGTTAATAGGAAACCTGTGCATGAAACCAGATTCTCAGAGACCATACCCTTGGTATAAGAACATATGGTAACTAAAAAGCTATTCTGAGATAAATGTCAAAGCATATAAAATTTAACTAAGCCAAGTTATGAAATTTTTTTTCTTTCACTGTTCTTCCTACATTTTCTTTAATTCATATATATCACAGTCCCTGAGATAACATTAATAACCACTCAAGCATAAAGAACTATGTACAACAGTTTCTATGTAGTAAATTTACAGTCATTTAAAAATAGGCATATCAGCCAGGCGTGGTGGCACAAGCCTATAATCGCAGCAACTCAGGAGGCTGAGGCAGGAGGACTGCTAAAGACCAGCCTCAGTAACTCAGTGAGGCAGATGGATTGCTAAATTCGAGACCCTGATCTCATAAGGCAGTTTAGTGAGATCCTGTTTCAAAAAAAAAAAAAAAAAGGTTGGGGATGCTGCTTTAAGACTTCATCATGACACTGGCCAAATCATATTGTTATATTGTGTATTGTGTGCATGTACAAATATGTAACAACAAATCCCATCAGTATGTAAATTATAATGCACCAATAAAAAAAGTAGGGAAAAGAAAAGACTTCATAAAAACAGAAGAGGGAAAGAACCAACTGCTGGAAAAATTTCAGCTACTGTCATATAGTTTATAGCAAGAAAGCTTTTGGAATTCAAGGATGAGAAGCAGCATTCTAAACAGTCAAGCTCATTTTAGAAATAGGTACTAAGTGTAGTAGAAAGATCATACTCATCAAGATAGGAATAAGAATACGTATCATTATATCTGTCCCTGTTATCTAGTCAAAATTAAAAAAAATCTTTAAGCCCTATTTATACATGAATCCATACATTATCAATACAACAATCTTAAAGCTCTTAAGTATCTTCAAATTAATTACTTGTACTGCTATAGTTCAGGTGACCTGATTTCAGAATTAATAAATCAATTTTACCGTTTTTTATAGCAGGAGCACAAAAGAACACTGTCATCATTTTAAATACATGGTCTCTAAAACACACAATACCTAAACGTCTTCATTATACATGCATCTATGGAAAACCAAAATTACTTCACTCTTATCACTGAGTTTTAAGACAGAAAGAAGTAAACAGAATTGCTTTTTCAAACCTGTTTTGATGTAAATATCTTCTCATGTCTTCTGTTTTTTGAAACTCCCTAATGGCACTTGTCTTTACTGGTGAACACTAAATCAAAAAAAGGATAAATAAATCAATTTAACGTGTATCCAAAATACAGTGATTACACATTCACATTCAACTTTTTAGGGATTTGTGCATTATAGTAAAAATAATTTCAACAGAATCTTAAAATGTAAACTTTCTGAAAGCACTATAGAGTACTTGCATATTTTTGATAAAATATTCACAATATACATTATATCTAAAAAAGATTTCCTACTTGCTATATTATATAAATTATAGTGACCAAAACCACTAATATTTACTGAATGATAAGAAGAATCTTAGAGGTCATATAATACAAGCTTCCACCCAGGACACAAATTATCTTTTTCTTTTTGTAAAAAAATGGGATTGAACCCAGGGGTACTTAACCACTGAACCACAACCCCAGCCCTTTTTAAAAACATATTTTATTTAGAGACAAGGTCTCACTGAATTGCTAAGTGCTGCTGAAGCTGGCTTTGAACTCATGATCCTCCTGCCTCAGCTGTGCCCAGCCAGGACAGAAATTTCTATCTATCCCACCCCAACATTAACCAAGTTTCTATTGAACATTTGTAGTAATAGGGAATTCACTGGGTAGATTGTCTCTTTACTTTTTCACTACCATAACTGTCTCTTATCTTAGTTTTACAAATAGTTCTGGGGATGCTGGTGTATATCAAGATAAAATACTGCCAGGCTTGGTGGTGCATGCCTGTAATCCCAGTGGCTTGGAAGGCTGAGGCAAGACGATCTCAGGTTCAAAGACAGCCTCAGCAAAAGTGAGGTGCTAAACAACTTATGAAACCCTGTCTTTAAATAAAATACAAAATATGGCTGGAAATGTGGCTCAGTGGCTGAGTGTCCCAGAATAGTTCAATCCCCGATACTAAAATTAATAAGTAAGTAAGTAAATAAATAAATAAATAAAACAAAAAGTAAATTCTCTTTAAGGTAAAATACAATATTAATTAAAAGAGAAATAGTGGCAACTGAACTTATTTATAAACTAAAAGGTAAAGGTCATTTTCAAGAAGTATTACTAAGGAAAATTAAGCTGGATCACACACTGAAAAATAAAATGATAAGCCAAAGGCAGGAAGTTTAAAGATTATCACAGTATATTATATGTTGAATGAGAATCTATAGAAGCAATACAATCTTGTGTCAACACCAAAAATCATCAAAAGGGGTATTCTTCAAGGGAAAACTAAGAAAACAACTTCTCCAAAAAAGATAACTAAAAATCAAATGTCAAACTACTTCAGTATAGTTTAACACAATATAGTATATTCTACCTCCATGAAATTACGTGTGATATATCTACACGTAACTAGAAAATCCTCTTTGGTAATTTACTCCAAAGGGTTAAAAGGTGACTGCATTAATGTTAGGGCATATAGAATGAATTACAATTCTGAAACCCTGATAAGAAAATAATTACTCTGATTTTATGACTGTCACTTTTGGGGGGAATTAACCGGGGATGCTTTACCACTGAGCTACATCCCTAATCTTTTTTATTTTTTTATTATCAGACAGAGTCTTGCTAAATTGCTGAGGGCCTTACTAAGTTCCCAAAGCTAGGACTGAACTTGTGATCCTCTCATCTCAGCCTCCTGAGTCACTGGGACTATATAGGCAGGCACCATTGAGCCTGGATGACTACGTCATTTTTTAAGAAACAAACATCTTTCCAAAGATGCTATATCGGTGACTTACCACCCTGGTTTTATGATATTGCAATTATCTAAAATTACTGTGAGAGGTTCTTTGAATTTCCATAACAGAATGAATGTGACATTAATCTAATTTAAAAAGTAAGTATATGTCATACACTGTTCAGGCAGGGTTGATCTATATATGTGAGAGGAATTTTAATAAAATTAGATAACAGCGAAATGTTTTAACATTTCTAATAGCTTGTTTCTTAAATTTAAATTTTTTAAGCAATCTTTAAAAAATTTAGTATACAGGAATACAAAAAGACATATCTTCACTGGTTGTTAAGCCATCTAAAATAATACTGCTTCATCATAATTTTACAGATCATCAAATTTTAGAAAGATTTATGAAACAAGTCATAAAGAACCTTATGATATACAATCATTGAAAACTACCATATATAGTAAGTAGGTGGAATTTAAAACCAATTACAAAGAACCAATAAAATGAATTAATGAAATGGTAGCTTATTTTTTCAGAGTAGTATAATAGTGTTTTCAGTTTTCGTGGAGATACTTTTGTAGCCTAATTAACCATACAGTGATCAAAGAGGATCACAAGAAAAGAAAAAGGTTTTCTTTAAAGAGTATAATGTGAAATTATTAATTTTACTTTTATTGTAAAGTAGTTTTTATTCCAGCAGAGATGTTAATAGCCTAAATCACACGCACTTCATTAATCACCTGGTCTAGTGCTATCTCTGGGCTATAAGATTTGATTTATATAATTTTATTCAATTTTAAGTGCAAGAGTATCCTCTGAACAAAAAATATTGTGTTCAAAGGCTTTCAAATAGGAAAACCAAAGGATTCTTTCTAAAGATGATAATCTCTCTCTACAACAAGCCCCACTTAAAAGTGATTAAATACATCATTCTCCAGAAAGGCCCCAACTGTTTCCCAAATAACCCCTGCTCAGAGCCTGCGATGAACTCCAGACATCGACATCACATCCACCCAAATAGAGCCATTTTATTACGCTGACTAGATATACTGAAGAATGCTATTCTACTTGAGACCCTTGGGGAATTGGCAAAGATTCTGCAGTGGGCTGAATGCTCATTTGTTTTCTAAGGCAATTCAACACTCCACCATAAGAGACACGCAAGAATTTTAATAGCAAACAATTTATATTCTGTTAACTTAATTTAAAAGCTTCAATAATTTTAAGTTTATAATAAAAATTCTATGGGCAAGTTGTATATTGCCTCAGAAGTTAAATTTGTGGTGTAATTCTTAATTACTGATCAACCAAATTATGATTTTTCAGTTAATAACAATAAAAAAAGCAAAAAACAAAGACTCACTAGAAATCCTAAAAACAATGAAAAGCATCACATTCCTTTGTGTTTTCTTCAAAGGCCTTAGGCTACTCTTAGGAACCCTTTTAGTCCTTCTTCAAAATTACAAAATCTGTCTCCTTATTTGAAAAACAAACCTAAATCCTACTTAAGAATATTGTCTGATTTTCTGAATAAATCTGAAAAATTTAGGACTAAAATCAGAAGTGAACATTATACAATAATTAGGGCTAAACAAATAAATCACTGATATGATAGAAAATTATACTATCTTAATTGTTCTTACTAGGGGAGAGCAATACTACCTCATGAGAGACTCGCCGTTGTTCAATATATGCCATAAACTGTGAACTGAGGCTCTCTGAGTCCAGTCCCTTGGACCGTTTCACCTCGTCCTCTTCTTCCTCTGCAGTACAGCTGTCAATGTAGTCAATTTGATCCAGATCATGTTCCACTGTATATACCACACACACACACCAGAAAAAAATATTCTAAGTAAGACAGCCAATAAAAGACATTTACTTAAATTATATTTTCTTTCTCCCCAACATTTTCTATTCTGAAAGTAGAAGGAATGATAAGGGTAATTTACATAAACCTTAATTATTTAGTCCACGGCTACTCACAAAAACAGTCTTCTGAAAATCTTAGTCCTAATTCACTCAAAAAATGCAATAACTGATAATAACTATTGAAATGCAGACCTTCAATATTTCTTTCCTTTCTTCTTTTTTTTTAAAATAAGACTGTTTGAGTTTGTGGAATAAATACAACAGATTAATTTTTAAAGATGGAAAAGTGCACCTTCTTTTAATGCTTTAGTTTGGGGCTTAATATCTCTCGGGGAACTGTAAGGCAGAAAACCTAACATAATCAACTCAAAAAAAATGTGAAAGGCTATAAAAAAGAGAAAGGGTAGGAAGAAACCGGACTTGGCAAGAAAGAGAGTTACTGGCTGTTTCCCTTCCTGAAACTGTTGTCAGACTTTAAAAAAAAAAAAAAAAAAAGATCAGAACAAAGATTTTCCTATTTAGAAAATTATTCACTAGAGGTCAATGTTGAAGATATTTTGTTTGCAGCAATTTGTGAATGAAAGGAATCATTTAAGGAATTTTTTTCTCAAGATGCTTTAGGGAAAAGAAAGGAATATAAATAAGATATAGCCACCTAATTGTTTCATCTGGTAAGTTTTGGAATGTCCTATTATTTTTAAGTTTAAAACTAATAACTTTTAACAACTAATTAAAAGGGTACACTAAGAAAAATCCTTGCTGTTAAGATGGTTTCTCCAGAAATACATTAAACCTCAACCAACCATTATTTTATGATGTCCCATAGACTACCTAAAAGTTGTAGTTTCTGGGAATAGATAATTTGGAGAAGACTATTTTTTAATTTAGTTTTTTCTGAGTCAATTATTTCTAAATAATTCTGTAACTGCAGTTAGTATTAAAATAAGTTTTTAAGTTGTTAAAGTTTTTTTAAGTTTTTTTTTCTTGGTTATAACTGGACACAATACCTTTATTTTATTTATTTATTTTTATGTGGTGCTGAGGATCGAACCCAGTGCCTTAAAATTTGTTAATAACTAAAAAGATAAAAAATTAGAAACCAGGTACAGAAATCCATTTCTTTCAATGTACACAATCTGTCTGATTAAATAGTTTATATTATGACCATTTCCCAAGAAAGCAACATCACTTCTTCATACTAGCTAGACCAGCATGGTCTAAGAGAAAAAGAATGGAAGCCATGAAAGTAAACCATATAGGTAATTTAAAATTTTCTAGTAGCCATGTTAAAAAAAGGGGGGTGGGAAGGTGATGCATCAATCTCCAGGATATATAAAGAACTCAAAACCAAAAAAAACAACCCTTCAGCTAAGGAACTGAACAGAGACTTCAAGAAGAAATACAATTGGTTAATAAATATATGAAAGACTGTTCATATCTCTAGCAATTAGAGAAATGCAAATCAAAACTACTTAGATTTCATCCCACTTCAGTCAGAATGGCAATTATTAAGAATACAAGTAATAATACATGTTGGCAAGGATATGGGGAAAAAGGCATACTCATACATTGCTGGTGGGACTGCAAATTGGTGCAACAACTCTGGAAAGTAGTTTTCTGGAGATTCCTCAGAAAACTTGAAATGAAACCACCATTTGACTCAGCTATCAGACTCCTCAGTTTATATCAAAAGGACTTAAAATCAACATACTAAGTGACACAGCCACATCAATGTTTATAGCAGCTCAATTCACAACCTAGATGCTTTTCAATAGATGAATGGATAAAGAAACTGTGATATATATATATATACACACACACACATATATACATACATACATACAATGGAATATTACTCAACCTTAAAGAAGAATGAAATTATGGCATTTGTAGGTAAATGGATGGAGCTAGAGAATATCATGCTAAGTGAAATAAGCCAATCCCCCCAAAGCAAAGACCAAACGTTTTCTCTGATATGTGGAAGCTAATTCACAATAAGGTGGGGGGAGTGGCTAGGAAAAAATAGAGGTACTTTGGATTAGGCAGAAGCGAGTGAAGAAAGAGGAGGAGGTATGGGGATAGTAAGGATAGTTCAATGAATCAGACATTAGTACCCTATGTATGTATATGATTACACACTTGGTATGATTCTACATCATGTACAACCAGAAGAAAGAGAAGTTATACTCCATTTATGTACAGCGTGTAAAAATGCATTCTACTGTCATGTTAACTAATTAAAACAAATAAAAAAATAAAGGGACATTAATTTAAATACTTTACTTTTGTCTGGTATATCTAAATGTTATTTTAAATAGTTGACATAAGATACTATTATTTTATATTTTTTTCTCATAGAAAGTCTTCAAAATCTGATGAATATTTTTTATTTATAGTACATCTCTATTCAGTATTTATAGTATATTTCAAATGCTTCATAACCACATATGGCTAAGGGCTGAAAAATGGAAATTAGAAAATTAGAAATTAGAAAATTTTCTAATTAGAAATTAGAAAAACTAGAAATTATTTTAAGTTATTTTAAATATCAAATGAACTGAAGGGAACATATATAAGAAAAAAATTTAAAAGAAAATTGAAACTATTTGAAATGTGAATGCAATGTTAAATGACCAGAATAAAGAATATCAAAATGGTGAGGAAAAGAAAAACAGCAAACCTCTTAATTGAAATAATCATTCACAAATGAAAGCTCTTCTGTTACAACATAATGGAAAATCAAAGCCATTTCTTCCTTTATATTCGATTCACAAAATTTAAACATCAGTATGTGGTTACTCAAACTAAAGCAATATAAAATGATTACAATATTTCAAGTCTGCTTCAGAAGTATAAGAAAGCAGAAAAAAACCTGCTCACTCTATGAAAACTACAATGTTTTAAATGCCAGAATAAGGAAAAATGGATTCAGAAGTCCTTGAAAATCATTATTCTAGATGAAAGAAAAGGCAAACATACAAAAAAAGAAAAGTGCTGAATTCTTACAGAGATCAAATAATGCCTTAAAAAAGGAGTTGTTTTGATTTTTTTTTTTTTTTTTTGTGGTATTGGGGATTAAACCCAGGGCCTCGCACATGCTCTACTACTAAGCTACATCCCCAGCTCAAAAAGGAAAATCTTACTCAGGGAGAATGGTACTTTAAAAGAAGATGTGGCCAGGCATGGTGGCACATGCCTGTAATCCCAGTGGCTCTGCAGGCTGAGGCAGAAGGATGGCAAATTCAAAGTCAGCCTCAGCAATTTAGTGAGGCCCTAAGCAACTTATTGAGAATCTATCTAAAAATAAAAAAATAAAAAAGGCTGGAGACGTAGCTCAGTGGTTAAACAACCCTGGGTTAAACTGATAGTACTCCCTCTCCCCACACCCCCCCAAAAGTGAAGAAGTTACAGATACATGAACCACAGGAATAGATGTGAAAGAGACCACTTTAAAAAGTTAACCTGGGCTAGAGTTGTAGCTCAGCGGTAGAGTGCTTACCTTGCATGTGTGAGGCACTGGGTTTGAATCTCAGCACTTCATATAAATAAGTAAATAAAATAAAGGTCCATCAACAACTGATGAATATTTTTTATTTATAGTACATATTAAAAAAAAAGTTAAGGTGACTATAAAGATTTCAGATGTCACTGAGATTATGTTTACCTCCACCATTTGTTACTATTAAACTGTTGCGATTCTCTTGGTATTGGCTTTCTCGTCGTAGTCTTTGCTCTTTAGTAATCTCTGCTACTCGGAGAGGCAGATCTGAAAATTCATCTGTAGGCTTAAAAAAGTAGTAGAAACATTAAAATTTTTTTTTCAAATTTGGATGCATATTTATATGAGCACAATATAAACTAATTAAAATTACATTTAAGAAAAAATAGTGAAAAAGTTTTGGAAATAAGACAATGAGGATTATTGTAGGACAATGTGAATGTACTGAATGCAAAAGAAATGTACACTTTAAAATGGTTAAAACTTAGCTGGGCACAGTGGTGCACGCCTGTAATCCGAACAACTCAGGAGCTGAGGCAGGAGGATTGTGGGTTCAAAGCCAGCCTCAGTAACAGCAAGGTGCTAAGCAACTCAGTGAGACCCTATCTCTAAATAAAATACAAAATAGGGCTGGAGATGTGGCTCAATAGTTGAGTGCCCCTGAGTTCAATCCCAGTACCCCCCACCCCAATGGTTAAAACTTTATGTTACATATATTTTACTATAATTACCAAAAAGAAGAAATAAAGGTATTTATGAGTATATAACTTTATCTACATATACCTCTCTATGGATAAAGCGACATTTATGTACTCAGCTACCCAGATATACATACACAAGCAATCTTAAGTTATAAATAAAAGTAGCCAGGTGTGGTAGCTGTGGCTAGGGACTTAGGAGGCTGAGGCAGGAGGATCCATGAACCTCAGCAACTCAGCGATACCCTAAGAAACTTAGTGAGCCCCTGTCTCAAAAATAAAAAATAAAGACCAGGAGGTGGCACACGCCTATAATCCCAGTGGCTTGGGAGGCTGAGACAGGAATTTGAACCATTGCTGAGACTGGTTCAAAGCCAGTCTCAGCAATGGTTAGGCGCTAAGCAACTCAGTGAGACCCTATTTAGTGTCTCCAAATAAAATAAAATATAGGGCTAGGGATACAGCTCAGTGGTTGAGTGTCTCTGAGTTCAATCCCTGGTAACCCCCCCACACCACCAAAATAAATAAATAAACAAACAAACAAACAAATAAACAAACTAACAAACAAATAAATAAAAGGGCTGGAGATATAACTCAATGGTTTAATGCCCCAAGTTCAATCCCTGGTACAAAAAAAAAAAAAAGTTATAAATGAGCTGAGGTCAAAATTTATTTATTTATTTTTAATTTTCTTAGTTATACAGGGACACAATATTTTAATTTTGTTTATTTATTTTTATGTGGTGCTGAGGATCAAACCCAGTGCCTCAGAGGTTCGAGGCAAGCGCTCTGCCACTGAGTCACAGCCCCAGTCCAAAATTTGATTTTCTTTGCATTCAGTGAAACATGTTATAAACTATGTTACCAGTCCGGGTAACAAAAGCTCATTTGTTCATTTAATAAATGTACAGCTAAAATATTACACCTTAATAATTTTAAAAAAGCAGGAAACATTATCACTGGTAATTGAACAAAACAGGAAAAAAATGTAATTCTGAGCATGTGGTATTCTTCAGTAAGATTCCATCTCCTTACTACTATTTATTTTTCTACCTTCTAGCACTTCTCTTACCATCTCTGCTCCAGATTTATCCCAGTCCCTCAGATTTTAGGTTTCAGTTTTACTGACTTAACTGCTATTCAGCTTTCCAGAAAAAGAAACTATTGATACAATGAGGAACAAGCATGTGAGAATACACATGATAAAAAGATGGTAAAGAAACAGAATACTATTTTTGAATGGTAGAGCTATGTGAGATATTTGCCTTGACTTATCTGTTATGTAATAAGAAAACTGGATCCAGTTTAGATATTTCCTTTTCATTATTTTATTCTCTCTTAATCAGGAGTTATGACATTCAGAATAAAGAAACACTTACCTCATTCCCTGACCATCTCTTATCACCACTGTCCACACTATTGAAACCTGAATCAAGGGCTCCATAAGGGCGACCTGAATATAGTTCTTCATGGCTACCAAGAAGAAACTTCAGTTATTACTGCAAAGTCCGATACTTTAAATATTAACTTGTGATGCCAGGTATGATGGTGCATGCCTGTAATCCCATGTTTCCTCTATGCCTCCTCCCATTCCCCATGTCCCCTCATTGTTTTTACTTTTAATAGTACTTTTTATAAAATTAAATTTACATACATTGAAATATATAAATCTTATCTGTGTGAATTTGACAAATGATTACAACCTTGTATATTCCCTCTATCATAACAGAAGACACTTCTATTTTGCCACCAAATTCCACACATCACTGCCCAATTAATTCCCCTTACTTTCTACTCAGTACTCCTCAGGGACAATCACACTCTTTTTTTAATCTTAAAAAAGATTAAAAGTATGGAAGGGTGAAATAATGGTCCCTAAAGATGTTCATGATTTAATCCCTGGAAACTGTATGTTACCTATGTGACAAAAGGAATTAAGGCTGTAGACAGAAATAAACAGCTAATCAGCTGACTTTAAAATGGGGAGATTATTCTGGTTTACTAATATGAACCCAATGTAATCACAAGGATCCTTAAAAGAGGAAGGAGGCAGAAGAGGTCAGTGTGATGCAATGTTGGCTTGAAGACAGAGTAAGAGGACCACGAATCAACGAGTAGAGCCTCTAGAAGTTAGAAAAAGCAAGAAAAAGGATCCTACCCAGAGCCCACAGCAAAAATCACAGCTCTATCAGCATCCTGATTTAGTCTGAGGAGATTGTGTTAGTCTTCTGACCTATAAAAATGTAAGATAAAAAGTATGTGCTGTTTACACCCTTAAGTTTATGATAATTTGTTATAGTGGCAATAGAAAAGCAATATAATTAGTCTTGCTTATTCTAGAACTTAGAAAAATCTATTTCCTGTTGGTAGACATTTTGGTTATTTCCTAGTTTTTGGCTGCTGTAAGAAAAAGTGCTACGAATAAGCTATGAACAATGTTACAAACAGTGGCGCACACCTGTAATGCCAGCTACTTGATAGGCTGAGGCAGGAGGATTTTATATTTGAGGCCAGACTGAGAAAAAAAAAAGAAAGAGAGAGAGAGAGAGAGAGAGAGAGAGAGAGAGAGAGAGAGAGAGAGAGAGAGAGAGAGAAACAGAGAAAGAGAGAAAGAAAGAAAGAATCTAACATCATTTCTTCCTTTTATGATTATTGTTTTCTGTGCCTAAAGAAATTATTCTCTACAAGTCATAAAGATATTCTTTCATATCTTTTAGAAACTTTTATAGTTTTAGTTTTTGCTTCTTCTTAAATGCTTTTTAAAATTTAGCTTAATTAGAAATCTAAAATATGATAAATTGTATTTTTAAAAGTATTTTTATCTGATTAGTCTCCCTAAGTTGAAAAGCAACTTTCAATAGTACAATTTTAAAATAGTGTTCTTCTAGTACTAAATTTTATATTCCTTATATTCTCTTTTTTTTGGTAATTTTTTTTAGTGGACCTTTATTTTATTTATTCATATGCAGTGCTAAGAATCAAACCCAGTGCCTCACACATGCTAGGCAAGCACTCTACCACTGAGCCACAACCCTATCTCAATTCTTTATATTTGTATATATTTCATAAGTGATGTACTTGCAATTTACAGACCCGTAAAATAATAATTTGGTACTACTTACCAACTATTAGCTAAAAGAAGTCTATTAATTTTTGTTAAATAAGGATAAACCATTTCTACTTACTTGCCTTTCACATAAAAAAGCTTTATGTAAACTAAAAACAAAACAAACCTCTATGTGAATGTAAGACAGTTTTTATAACTTGCCATTTATTGATAAAGATATTACTTTAATTATTTAACTACAGACCTACTTGTCCAATGTGATAAGTAAGTACTAATTACAAAATAAGATTCAAAACCACAGGGAACTTCTGGTTATCTTTCTCATTTTTCTACCTGCCCCCATAAAGGTCAGAGAGCTAAAAAGCAAACAAAACAAAATTCTACTAAAAAAAAAAAACAGCTGTTAATTTTCCCCAACCCTATATTTTGAAAAAAAAAGAAATTCACCTCTACACAAAAGATGGAAAAGAGTACAATGAATACCAATTTTCAACTTGATTTCCCCAATTGTTGGTAATTAAGTAAAATGTTTTATGAAGAGCATGTCCATGATCTGTCTGCTTTAATGCTTGTTTCAGAGCCTAGAACTTAAGGACAGGTACTATGTGTGTTTTATTCCAGCAAAGCCAACCAATATGTCTAATTTTAAGAACTTTCTAATAAAATATGCAGAACAAACTTTAAAGATTCCTTTTTTGCAGCTTCCAAAACAAATATGTATATTTCAAGATTTGCAGAACAATATTTTTAACTACCATGTATTGTTTTTTTCAAGATGGTCATCCTACACATAAATAGGAGGCCAGGTAGAATTCTGCTAGGCTCCAGCTTACCTTGTCAGAAAGTTCAGTCTCTTTAACAAACCATCTAGCTCAATATAGAATTAATCGCATTAGTGGGATTACAGAGGCAGAACTTTTCTTACCAGCAGTTTATTCTTTCCTTAGTTTTGATTTAATGCCACACCATCATAAATATATTTAGTTTGTGACATAAAGTTGCTTACAATTACATCAGTAAAAAGCACATGCCCCTATAGCTCAAAAACAAAAAAAATATGGTACCAATGTGTAAAACAAAGGTTATCACAATAATGCAATTTACTAAAGGACTTGGAAACATTTACATCTGAAAATGAGTAAAGAAATGTATAGTTTTTATAAAATAATGTTTATGGGCTGGGGATATAGCTCAGTGGTAGAGTGCTTACTTTAGCATGCACAAGGCCCTGTGTTTGATCCCCAGCACTTCAAAAAAATCAAAATAAAACACAAATGTATTTTTAAAATATTACAAAAAAAATAAGAAAGTTACATCTAAAGATTGAAAGAACTAAAATATCTATTTTGTATTGAGCACCCAAAGAGCTACAGAATTAATAAAGATTCTCTTTAGCAAGACTGGACTATCTAAATTAGTTCCAGTCTAATTATTATGCCTAATAGTGAAAAAGGGCATTATAAATGCACTTTCAGACACATGTCATTAAAAGTATAAACAGTGTAAAGATCATGCTGAAGAAATGGAACTTCAGAGAGGTTAAGTGAACTCCCTAATAGTACAGGGATCCAGAAGCAAAACCCTCTGACTGCATATCCACCCTTTCAATAGCAAATTGCTAACCACAATATGAGTCTACTAATCTGTATCTCTAATAAGGAACACATGAAGGCATAATATCTCATTCACTAATGCTTGAGGTGTTGAATGAAGTATCATACACATGGTTATACGTGTTACCCAGGGGGGATTGATTCCAATACTCCCGATGGATACCAAAATCCGGGATGTTCAAATTCAAAAATTCCTTATATAAAATAGAGAGTTTTCATATCATCCATCCATCTATCTATCTATCTATCTATCTATCTATCTATCTATCTATCTATCTATTTTGGAGTCAGGGTCCGGGCTGTGTTGTATAGGTTAACTCCAAATTCTTGAGCTCAAATGATCCTCCTGCCTCAGCCACCCGAGTAGCTGGTACTAAAGGCACTGTCCCCATGTCCTCCATAATATACTTTAAATCATCTCTGGATTACTTAAAATACCTAATATAATGTAAATGGCATGTAAATAGTTATTATACTGTATTGTTTAGGGAATAGTGATAGAAAAAAAAATCTTTAAATATGCATTACAGGTATATTTTTCCCCTAATATTTTCAATATATACTTGGTTGAATTCATGGACATGGAAGCCTGACTATATATAAATATATGCAACAAATCATAATTTCTAGGACATTGTGAAACAACTCATAGCTCTAGAAATATAGAAATTTCCAAATAGCTCAAGATTACCCCCTTTTTTGAGATTAATATGTTAAATATATTTTCATCATTTCCAATAAAAATTTAAACTATACTATGAATCTATAATGCACAGTTCCCTTTTCTGAAAATTATATTTAGCATGCCTTAGCATTTTCTCAATGAACATCAATTTTTATACTTTTCTATAATATGGTAATCACTGAAAATATTACTGAAATAGAGTATTCTTGGCACATAAGGCCTACTGGAGCCAGATTGCTATGCTTTTAGAGCTTTACTGATTCTAAATACTGTATTAGAATTATGAAATATGGCACTTAGACATTAAAGGATATCTGTAACATATAGGACTTTTAATAATGATGGGACATTATGGGCTGGGGCTGTAGATCAGCGGTAGAGCGCTTGTCTAGCACATACGAGCTAGGCTCTGAGTTCAATCCTCAGCACCACATAAAAATAAATAAAAGTTATTGTGTCCAACTACAACTAAAAAAGAAATATTTTTAAAAAATGATGGGACATTATTAATATCTCTGAACCCCCCTTATGCCCCTACACAACAAATCTTTCCTCCTTTCTCTCAGAGTTTAACATCTACTGTGTTTTTTTTTAACCATACGATTTATTTTTATTTTTTTTAGTCATACATGACAGCAGAATGTATTTTGACATATAATACATACATGGAATGTATATACATCAATCATAATGTCTATTCTATTCTGCTGCCCGTCCTATCCCCCCTACTCCTCCCCTCCTCTCTCATGCTTTCTCTCTAATCCAATCTAATGTGACACACTTTTTTTTCTTTTTCTCATCCCAACATCATATATGTATTCTGTATAACAATGAGGTTCTCCTTCCATCTCCTTCCACCAAGCAACTCCCCTTCTCCCTCTTTTTCCCTCCCACCTCTCTTCCCTATTTAATGGTAGTCTTCTTCTCATGCTCTTCCTCCCTATCCCATTTTGAGTCACCCCCCTTATATCAGAGAAGACACTCGGCATTTGTTTTTTAGGGATTGGCTAACTTCACTTAGCATAATCTGCTCTAATGCCATCCATTTGCCTGCAAATGCCATGATCTTGTTATTTTTTAGTGCTGAGTAATATTCCATTGTGTATAA